GCAGTCTTCCCCGGGTGAGTTTTCTGTCTTCTTGTTTTTAAATATTTGTTGTATTTTTTTTAAATGCTGTTTTTTTTTTCTCAGATGTCTTCTTTTTCTTTCTCTTTTTCTTCCTCTACTTCTCCAACTCCTCCTTCTTCTTCCTCGTCTTCTTCTCCTCCCACCCCTCCTACTAGGACCAGGCTAGCCTACTGGCTAAAAGACCCTACGTCGTGAGTTTGAATCTTCACTGAAGTCCTGTTGTCTTCTCTCGTGTTCTACTTGTAATGCTGTACAGCGTCGCATGGAGGAGTGAACATTAGTTTCCTGTATTTTACCAGTTGCCTAGCCGGTGTTCATGTCATATTGTGTTTCTGTAGAGTCTCTTTGACTCCATCCACGCATCTCTTTCTTGGTTGGCCTGTTGCCTTCTAGCAAACTGTACTTATGTTGTACACTCTAGCTGTTGGCTAATTTTGTTGCCTTCTGACAAGATGAACAAACCATTTGATTTCTTGGTGTCCTTGTGTTGCAATCAAACTGAAAGTACAGTTAAACGATATGCCCTACAGCTTTCAAAAAGGTAGTGACTGATTTCAGCACAATCATCACCATCATGTGCCGTGCCAATAAGTGTATCCGGCATGATTTGCCATCTCACACGATCTCCAGAATCACGGCACCCTTTCCATGTTGCCAAACCATCTATGTGGTCAAACCATCCACGTGGTTAAACCATCCATGTGATCAAACCATCCACCTGGTCAAACCATCCATGTGATCAAACCATCCACCTGGTCAAACCATCCACGTGATCAAACCATCAATGTGATCAAACCATCCATGTGATCAAACCATCCATGTGGTCAAACCATTCATGTGCTCAAACCATCCACGTGGTTAAACCATCCATGTGATCAAACCATCCACCTGGTCAAACCATCCATGTGATCAAACCATCCACGTGATCAAACCATCTATGTGACCAAACCATCCATGTGATCAAACCATCCATGTGGTCAAACCATCCATGTGCTCAAACCATTCATGTGATCAAACCATTCATGTGGCCAAACCATCCATGTGCTCAAACCATTCATGTGGTCAAACCATCAACGTGGTCAAACCATCCATGTGGTCAAACCATCAACTTGGCCAAACCATTCATGTGGTCAAACCCTCCATGTGGTCAAACCATTCATGTTGCCAAGCCATCCATGTGGTCAAACCATCCATGTGGCCAAACCATCAACGTGGTCAAACCATCAACGTGGTCAAACCATCAACGTGGCCAAACCATTTATGTGGTCAAACCATCCATGTGGTCAAACCATCCGTGTGGCTAAACCATCCATGTGGTCAAACCATCCGTGTGGCTAAACCATCCATGTGACCAAACCATCAACGTAGCCAAACCATTCATGTGGTCAAACCATCAACGTGGCCAAACCATATATTTTTGTCAAACCATTCATGTGGTCAAACCACCCATGTTGTCAAACCATCCATGTGGTCAAACCATTAACTAGGTCAAACCATCCATGTGGCGACACCATCAACGTGGTCAAAACATTCATGTGGCCAAACCATCAACGTGTTCAAACCATTCATGTGGCCAAACCATTCATGTAGATAAAGCATGAACGTGGTCAAACTATTCATGTGGCCAAACCATACATGTGGCCAAACCATCCATGTGGTCAAACCATCAACGTGGTCAAACCATTCATGTGGCCAAACCATCCATGTGGCCAAACCATCCATGTGGTCAAACCATCCATGTGGCCAAACCATCCATGTGGCCAAACCATCAACGTGGTCAAACCATTCATGTGGCCAAACCATCCATGTGGCCAAACCATCCATGTGGCCAAACCATCCATATTGCCAAACCATCCATGATGTCTAACCATCCATGCGACATCCTTGCCGCTGACTCTAGACACGGTGTTATGTCTGCACTTTCTCCACATGGACATCCTGTCTTCATGTTGGCAGTGTAGGTCTGTCTTCATGTTGGCAGTCTATGTCTGTCTTCATGTTGGCAGTGTAGGTCTGTCTTCATGTTGGCAGTGTAGGTCTGTCTTCATGTTGGCAGTCTATGTCTGTCTTCATGTTGGCAGTCTATGTCTGTCTTCATGTTGGCAGTCTAGGTCTGTCTTCATGTTGGCAGTCTATGTCTGTCTTCATGTTGGCAGTCTAGGTCTGTCTTCATGTTGGCAGTCTAGGTCTGTCTTTATGTTGGCAGTCTATGTCTGTCTTTGTGTTGGCAGACTAGATATGTCTTTATGTTTGCAGTCTAGGTCTGTCTTCATTTTGGCAGTCTATGTCTGTCTTTATGTTGGCAGTCTATGTCTGTCTTTATGTTGGCAGTCTGGGTCTGTCTTCATGTTGGCAGTCTATGTCTGTCTTTATGTTGGCAGTCTATGTCTGTCTTTATGTTGGCAGTCTATGTCTGTCTTTATGTTGGCAGTCTATGTCTGTCTTTATGTTGGCAGTCTATGTCTGTCTTTGTGTTGGCAGTCTAGGTCTGTCTTCATGTTGGCAGTCTAGGTCTGTCTTCATGTTGGCAGTCTAGGTCTGTCTTCATGTTGGCAGTCTGGGTCTGTCTTTATGTTGGCAGTCTAGGTCTGTCTTCGTGTTGGCAGTCTAGATATGTCTTTATGTTGGCAGTCTAGATATGTCTTTATGTTGGCAGTCTAGCTCTGTCTTTATGTTGGCAGTCTAGATATGTCTTTATGTTGGCAGTCTAGATATGTCTTTATGTTGGCAGTCTATGCCTGTCTTCATGTTGGCAGTCTAGGTCTGTCTTCATGTTGGCAGTCTATGTCTGTCTTTATGTTGGCAGTCTAGGTCTGTCTTCATGTTGGCAGTCTATGTCTGTCTTTATGTTGGCATTCTATGTCTGTCTTTATGTTGGCAGTCTAGGTCTGTCTTCATGTTGGCAGTCTATGTCTGTCTTCATGTTGGCAGTGTAGGTCTGTCTTCATGTTGGCAGTCTAGGTCTGTCTTCATGTTGGCAGTCTAGGTCTGTCTTCATGTTGGCAGTGTAGGTCTGTCTTCATGTTGGCAGTCTATGGCTGTCTTTATGTTGGCAGTCTAGGTCTGTCTTCATGATGGCAGTCTAGGTCTGTCTTCATGTTGGCAGTCTATGTCTGTCTTCATGTTGGCAGTCTAGGTCTGTCTTCATGTTGGCAGTCTAGCTCTGTCTTCATGTTGGCAGTGTAGGTCTGTCTTCATGTTGGCACTCTAGGTCTGTCTTCATGTTGGCAGTCTAGGTCTGTCTTCATGTTGGCAGTGTAGGTCTGTCTTCATGTTGGCAGTCTAGCTCTGTCTTCATGTTGGCAGTCTATGTCTGTCTTCATGTTGGCAGTCTATGTCTGTCTTCATGTTGGCAGTCTAGGTCTGTCTTCATGTTGGCAGTCTATGTCTGTCTTCATGTTGGAACTCTAGGTCTGTCTTCATGTTGGCAGTCTAGGTCTGTCTTCATGTTGGCAGTGTAGGTCTGTCTTCATGTTGGCAGTCTAGCTCTGTCTTCATGTTGGCAGTCTATGTCTGTCTTCATGTTGGCAGTCTATGTCTGTCTTCATGTTGGCAGTCTAGGTCTGTCTTCATGTTGGCAGTGTAGGTCTGTCTTCATGTTGGCAGTCTATGTCTGTCTTCATGTTGGCAGTCTATGTCTGTCTTCATGATGGCAGTCTAGGTCTGTCTTCATGTTGGCAGTCTATGTCTGTCTTCATGTTGGCACTCTAGGTCTGTCTTCATGTTGGCAGTCTATGTCTGTCTTCATGTTGGCAGTCTATGTCTGTCTTCATGTTGGCAGTCTAGGTCTGTCTTCATGTTGGCAGTCTATGTCTGTCTTCATGTTGGCAGTCTAGGTCTGTCTTCATGTTGGCAGTCTATGTCTGTCTTCATGTTGGCAGTCTAGGTCTGTCTTCATGTTGGCAGTCTAGGTCTGTCTTCATGTTGGCAGTCTAGGTCTGTCTTCATGTTGGCAGTCTAGGTCTGTCTTCATGTTGGCAGTCTATGTCTGTCTTCATGTTGGCACTCTAGGTCTGTCTTCATGTTGGCAGTCTAGGTCTGTCTTCATGTTGGCAGTCTATGTCTGTCTTCATGTTGGCAGTCTATGTCTGTCTTCATGTTGGCACTCTAGGTCTGTCTTCATGTTGGCAGTCTAGGTCTGTCTTCATGTTGGCAGTCTATGTCTGTCTTCATGTTGGCAGTCTATGTCTGTCTTCATGTTGGCACTCTAGGTCTGTCTTTATGTTGGCACTCTAGCTCTGTCTTCATGTTGGCAGTCTAGGTCTGTCTTCATGTTGGCACTCTAGGTCTGTCTTCATGTTGGCAGTCTAGGTCTGTTTTCGTGTTGGGAGTCTGGGTCTGTCTTTATGTTGGCACTCTAGCTCTGTTTTCGTGTTTGCAAGCGTGACCTGTCTTCACCACGCTCAAATCTGTTCACGTATTTTCCCAAGTACATAAAAACAAATTAGCAGTTGATCTATAAAATATGTCACTAACACAAAATTTCTATGATACTTCAATCAAGATGTTGGAATGGGACCTGTAGCTTAGTTGTAGCTCGACAGGGAAATGAAGAAGAAGAGGACAAAGAAGAAGAACATGGAGGTAATGATGATAATGATGATGTTGATGGCGGAGAAGCATAAGAAGAAGAATAAGGATACTGATAATGACGATAACAATGATGTTGAAGTAGAAGAAAGAAAAGATGTTATAGATAATGATGATGATGGAGAAGATGACAAAGAAGAATTTGGTGTTAATGATAATGATGATAGTAACGATGATGATAATAATGAAGACGAGAAGGAGGAGAAGTAGGAGGAAGAAGAAGAGAAATAAGAAAGGAAGCACAAACAGTTGATAATGAGGATGATGATGATGAATATGGGAAGGGGGAGGGTGGGTTACAAACACTTAATGCAACTAGTAACTAATATCATGAATAACTAATGAACTTGCTTCCTGCCACAGATTGAATCAAACACAAACCGGACACAATGAAGCCAACAGTGCTAGCAGTCATGTTTATGGTCGTCTTCGCACACCAGGTCAGCGCAGATGAGCGACTGAAGGCCCTCAGCCAGGCCTCCTGCGACTTTGCCCAGAGGCTTCACTTCAAGCTCTCAGCACATGACAGGAAGGAGTCCACCCTGCTCTCCCCGCTGAGGTAAGTGACATCTGAGAATGTTGGTGTCACAGTCCACCCTGCTCTCCCCCACTCAGGTAAGTGACATCTGAGAATGTTGGTGTCACAGTCCACCCTGCTCTCCCCCACTGAGGTGACATCTGAGAATGTTGGTGTCACAGTCCACCCTGCTCTATCACTGATGTAAGTAACATCTGGACGGCGTGGTCATAATGCCACAGTTTGAAACAGAACACTCTACATGCGGATTCCTGGACCCTATTGCGGGGAACACAAGGATAGACCCACTGCCTCCCCCCAAAAAGCATAAAGTCAACTAATTTGGAGCTTCCTTCGAAGTCGGAGTACATCTACTCGAGCGGCAAGGAACTACCAACTGTCGAGCGGCATGGAACTACCAACTGTCGAGCGGCATGGAACTACCAACTGTCGAGCGGCATGGAACTACCAACTGTCGAGCGGCATGGAACTACCAACTGTCGAGCGCCATGGAACTACCAACTGTCGAGCGGCATGGAACTACCAACTGTCGAGCGGCAAGGAACTACCAACTGTCGAGCGGCATGGAACTACCAACTGTCGAGCGGCATGGAACTACCAACTGTCGAGCGCCATGGAACTACCAACTGTCGAGCGGCATGGAACTACCAACTGTCGAGCGGCAAGGAACTACCAACTGTCGAGCGGCATGGAACTACCAACTGTCGAGCGGCATGGAACTACCAACTGTCGAGCGCCATGGAACTACCAACTGTCGAGCGGCATGGAACTACCAACTGTCGAGCGGCAAGGAACTACCAACTGTCGAGCGGCAAGGAACTACCAACTGTCGAGCGGCAAGGAACTACCAACTGTCGAGCGGCAAGGAACTACCAACTGTCGAGCGGCAAGGAACTACCAAACTGTCGAGCGGCAAGGAACTACCAACTGTCGAGCGGCAAGGAACTACCAACTGTCGAGCGGCAAGGAACTACCAACTGTCGAGCGGCAAGGAACTACCAACTGTCGAGCGGCAAGGAACTACCAACTGTCGAGCGGCAAGGAACTACCAACTGTCGAGCGGCAAGGAACTACCAACTGTCGAGCGGCAAGGAACTACCAACTGTCGAGCGGCAAGGAACTACCAACTGTTGAGCGGCAAGGAACTACCAACTGTCGAGCGGCAAGGAACTACCAACTGTCGAGCGGCAAGGAACTACCAACTGTCGAGCTGCAAGGAACTACCAACTGCACAGAAATAAGCCAGTAACACAGATGCACTTGTAGAACTCAGGCCATGGCATAAACACAACTTCCAAATGGACGAACACCCAGGACTTTCTACCAGAAAAATAATATAGAAGACGAAGAAGAAGAAGAAGAAGAAGAAGAAGAAGAAGAAGAAGAAGAAGAAGAAGAAGAAGAAGAAGAAGAAGAAGAAGAAGAAGAAGAAGAAGAAGAAGAAGAAGAAGAAGAAGGAGAAGGAGAAGAAGAAGAAGAAGAAGAAGAAGAAGAAGAAGAAGAAGAAGAAGAAGAAGAAGAAGAAGAAGAAGAAGAAGAAGAAGAAGAAGAAGAAGAAAACAAATCTATTCCGTGAGAAAGCGAAACAATCATCAAGTCAGAACCTCTGAGTGGCTTCCGGTGTCCCATCTAGGGGAAAATAATATAAACCATTTGTAAAAGTTGAATACCCATAATTAGCGACTTATCCTTTAATTAGCGACTTTTCCTTTAATTAGCGACTTTTCCTTTAATTAGCGACTTATCCTATCAAAGTCAAAATGTATATACCTCAGATGCACTCCGAACCAACAGTCTGCATACAAATAAGCCAGATCTGTAAATCAAATGTGAATGCAAAATTCAGGTTCTGAAACAAGACCAATGACCACAAGTGGACGAACAACTAGAGCTTTCCGCGAGAGTTTGCAGCCGATAAACGCCAAGAAGACGATCTGGTAAGAAAGCCAATGTTGATTCTGTGAAAAGGCCAACCAAGCCGCCCACTCTTGTCGGCACGGCACACGCTGAAGATCCCTATTGTCATTATCAAGTGACTATCGATGGGCGCAGTCGATTATGTTGACTGATAATCTATCTCATGGTGCTTCATCGATGATTGCCTTCCATATAATTTTTCTACTGTAATATAAACATATGTGCACCTGACACATGAAATACACTTGCAGCTAAACGGAATTTAGGGCACCAACTGCCACGGATCTGAAGAGCAATCAAGACTAAGCGAATAAACAAACAATATTTTCACTGGGTTAAGAACTGGGCACGCAGGCCCGTCTAACATTCTGCCCTTCTAGTCTGTTCCCTTTTATACACTATTTCATTCATAAACGTGTTAACCAGCGATAGTAAACATTATCTTCTTATTTAAGTCCATGCCGTGGGTCGTTGGTAGTCATGTCCATCCACAACCTTCTGTCTCGTGAACTTTCAGTCAGCTCCGACACACATAATCTTCTATAGTCCATGTCGTGGGACGTTGGTAGTCATGTCCATCCACAACCTTCTGTCTCGTGAACTTTCAGTCAGCTCCGACACACATAATCTTCTATAGTCCATGTCGTGTTAGTCATGTCAAGCATCCTCTCTCATGGTCTCCCTCTGCCCCTCCTCGCCTAAAACTTGCACACGGTCACGATGTACTCCAGTTTTCTCCTTCTTATGAAATGACCAAAGAATGTAGATTGTCTCTTTCTAATGTTGGCAATCAAGTCTCTTGGTAAGTCAGTTTCTGTCAAGACGTGTTCATGACTCTTTCTAATGTTGGCAATCAAGTCTCTTGGTAAGTCAGTTTCTGTCAAGGAGACGTGTTGATGACTCTTTCTATCAGTCCATGGTATTCTCAACATTCCTCTTTAAAACCACATCTTTGAAGAGGAGAGCTGTGTCATCCGGGGAATAAAGATCAACAAGAGGAGAGCTGTGTCATCCGGGGAATAAAGATCAACAAGAGGAGAGCTGTGTCATCCGGGGAATAAAGATCAAAAAGAGGAGAGCTGTGTCATCCGGGGAATAAAGATCAAAAAGAGGAGAGCTGTGTCATCCGGGGAATAAAGATCAAAAAGAGGAGAGCTGTGTCATCCGGGGAATAAAGATCAAAAAGAGGAGAGCTGTGTCATCCGGGGAATAAAGATCAACAAGAGGAGAGCTGTGTCATCCGGGGAATAAAGATCAAAAAGAGGAGAGCTGTGTCATCCGGGGAATAAAGATCAAAAAGAGGAGAGCTGTGTCATCCGGGGAATAAAGATCAAAAAGAGGAGAGCTGTGTCATCCGGGGAATAAAGATCAAAAAGAGGAGAGCTGTGTCATCCGGGGAATAAAGATCAAGAAGACGAGAGCTGTGTCATCCGGGGAATAAAGATCAAAAAGAGGAGAGCTGTGTCATCCGGGGAATAAAGATCAAAAAGAGTAGAGCTGTGTCATCCGGGGAATAAAGATCAAAAAGAGGAGAGCTGTGTCATCCGGGGAATAAAGATCAAAAAGAGGAAGGCTGTGTCTAGAAAGGACTAAAGGCAGAGAAGGAAATGAATGCAGAAAGGATGAGAGCCCACGTTTGAGAGAAACAAGACAACACACGATAGTCTGAGAGAAACAAGACAAAACGCAATAGTCTGAGAGAAACAAGACAACACGCGATAGTCTGAGAGAAGCAAGACAACACGTGATAGTCTGAGAGAAGCAAGACAACACGTGATAGTCTGAGAGAAGCAAGACAACACGTGATAGTCTGAGAGAAACAAGACAACACGCGATAGTCTGAGAGAAACAAGACAACACGCGATAGTCTGAGAGAAACAAGACAATACGTAATAGTCTGAGAGAAACAAGACAACACGCGATACACTGATGACTCTAAAATCTGATGCATTTATTTTTAACGTGAGAGTCACACTCGCCATTGCTATAGGCTGTGATCAAACACCATCCTTGGCCCTCCGAATCTTCCCCCACACCCCCAGTATAAAATAACCGTCGACTGTAAAGACAGACATCTGCCAACTGACAAGAACTTGACAAATCTTGCACACACAATTGTTCTAAATCTGAAGAAATGTCATATTTTGTATGACAACCATGTTGACCTCCATTGCAGCATCCACTCGGCCCTGTCAATGCTGAGCCTGGGAGCCCGCAACGAGACCGCTGAAGAAATGGACCGGGCCCTCAACTTGTCCTCAATTTCTGAATCTGACGCCCATGAAGCATACCGCCAAATCCTGTCTGAGGTACGTACGGTAACTGGGGCTTCTGTTTCAACACTTGACTTGTAGTCTAACGAGGTACAGTAACTGGGGCTTCTGTTTCAACACTTGACTTGTAGTCTAACGAGGTACAATAACTGGGCTTTTGTTCCAACACTTGACTTGTAGTCTAACGAGGTACAATAACTGGGCTTTTGTTTCAACACTTGACTTGTAGTCTAACGAGGTACAGTAACTGGGCTTTTGTTTCAACACTTGACTTTAGTCTAACGACGTACGGTAACTGGGCTTTTGTTTCAACACTTGACTTGTAGTCTAACGAGGTACAGTAACTGGGCTTTTGTTTCAACACTTGACTTGTAGTCTAACGAGGTACAGTAACTGGGCTTTTGTTTCAGCACTTGACTTGTAGTGTAACGATGTACAGTAACTGGACTTTATCTTCAACATTTGACTTGAAGTCCACTTAAGGGTGTCTGAGACAAAGATATACATACTTACATGTCGACCTTGGAGGATGGGACAAAGAGTTAACAACTTGTCGACATGGGAGGGTGAGAACAAAAAGACATGATCTGTGGTCATAGTTCAGCTAGCCAACTCTTATTGGCGGTATGCACGATGAAGTTAATAAGATAAGGATTCAACCCTACAGTAGTGGTAGCAGTAGAAGTTGTAGTAGCAGCAACATCAGCAGTAGTAGTAGTAGTAGTAGTAGTAGTAGTAGTAGTAGTAGTAGTAGTTGTAGCAGCTGCAGCAGCTGGAGCAGCAGCAGTGGTAGCAGTAGTAGTAGCAGCAGCGGTAATAGTAGTAGTAGTAGTAGTAAGTAGTAGCAGTAACAGACGAAGACGAAGAAGCATTAACACATTGTGAAATACAATTGGTGACTATGTCCTCAGTTCTCAACAATCGAGTCTGTCGACTTGGAAGTGGTCAACGCCATGCTGGTCAACTCGGACAAACCCATTGAGCAGCAGTTCAAGAGCGACGCCGAGAGCAAATACTTGGCCAAGATTGAGACCTTCAAGCCCAGCGAGCAGGATGCCGAGAAGAAGATCAACGACTACGTCTCACAGAAGACCTATGGTGAGATCCGGGAAATCATCAAGAAAGGTATCTACAAGTGTGGATTTTATTTGTCATTGGGTGTTCTTTGAGTGTCCCTGTCCACGTGTTATTTATTATGGGTAGTAACTGGGTGTTCTTTGAGTGTCCCTGTAACGTGGTATTTATCATGGGTAGTAACTGGGTGTTCTTTGAGCGTCCCTGTCCACGTGTTATTTATTATGTGTAGTAACTGGGTGTTCTTTGAGCGTCCCTGTCCACGTGTTTTTTATCAAGGGTAGTAACTGGGTGTTCTTTGAGCGTCCCTGTCCACGTGTTATTTATCATGGGTAGTAACTGGGTGTTCTTTGAGCGTCCCAATCAGTGTGTCATTTATCATGCGTAACTGGGTGTTCTTTGACTTTCACAATCAGCTTGTTAATTATCATGGGTAACTGGGTGTTCTTTGACTTTCACAATCAGCTTGTTAATTATCATGGGTAACTGGGTGTTCTTTGACTTTCACAATCAGCTTGTTAATTATCATGGGTAACTGGGTGTTCTTTGAGTTTCCCATTCCACAATCATTTGTCAGGCGTGATTGGTTATTGGCGCAATAACAAGGTTATCTCTCGGTTTGGATTCAGCGTGAAGACTCCCTGCCCGGGATGAGGTGCCACTTGCAAGAGAGACTCGTTTCGTTGTCTGTGCTCAGACACAGCGCCCTGGGCATGATCTCTAGAGAGACATCTGCACAGAGAAGGACAACGAACCTCAGAACGTTAGCCAGACTTGGGAGTCAGTCTCATCCTAGAGGGGTGTCCATGGATTGGGCTGGTGTGACCCCTGACCCCAGTGTGGCTTTCTCAGAGGTCCACACAGCCGCAGACCCATTTCCAAGGCCTATATTTTGCTGATACCACATGTAATAACCAGTATGCGGCCCTCGGTAGGGCTTTAGTGATCAAAACCACATCATCCGCATTTACTTCCATAAAGATTTTCTGGTACTGATTTTAGGCAGCTGGGACTTTAAGTCTTTCACATGAATTCCCCAATCTATGCGGGCTAAAACCCACGACCACTATCACACAAGCAGCGAGCCCTAGCAGCTCACCTCCATGAACCCAGTGGTGTAACTCTTTTCATTTCCAAAGCTTTTTCCCCCATTTAATTTTTAAATTGCATTGGACCGACTGGAGGAATTAGACCAAAGATTGTGGTAGACCAAAGATTGTGGTAGACCAAAGATTGTGGTAGACCAAAGATTGTGGTAGACCAAAGATTGTGGTAGACTATAGATTGTGGTAGACCTAAGATTGTGGTAGACCAAAGATTGTGGTAGACCAAAGATTGTGGTAGACCTAAGATTGTGGTAGACTATAGATTGTGGTAGAACTAAGATTGTGGTGGACTAAAGATTGTGGTAGACCAAAGATTGTGGTAGACTATAGATTGTGGTAGAACTAAGATTGTGGTAGACCAAAGATTGTGGTAGACCAAAGACTGTGGTAGACCTAAGATTGTGGTAGACCAAAGAGTGTGGTAGACCAAAGATTGTGGTAGACCAAAGATTGTGGTAGACCAAAGATTGTTGTAGACCAAAGATTGTAGTAGACCGACAAGGGAAAATTAACAAGTATAACATTTACAATTGCACTGGATTCCGGAACCAAATAAGTGTGTTTGATTTGGGAGAAGTAACGGTTCATATCAAGTTAGGAGTTGCGAACGCGTCGGTTTCAATAGTGGTAAAGAGCCCCGGCCAGTCAGAGGGCAATGGCAAACTACTGATTGTAAAATGGTCCAGTAAAAACCACCAGCAACCAGCAAATGCGGAGGTTGATTCTGCAACATGCTGTAGAGGGTAGGCAACTATTTTCCTGGTAGTGTCCATACATTGGCTCAGAACAGACCAGAAATCGAGTGGTCGCGCGTACTTTATCTGCATGAGTTCAGGGAGAGAGCACAATAAGAGAGTTAAATATCATGGATAACTATAGTCCGTGGCTGGAGTTGGGGAAAGCACAAAATGCCTTATATATTAGGAGGAAGTCACCCACTTATAGGGAGTCCCTCTGTATGTAAAGTGTTGAGGAATTATCGATGATTATATGAATAATTAGTTGTTAGTTGAAAGTGAGACACAGGCGTTGAAGTGAAACAAGTTGAAAGTGAGACAAAAGTGTTATGTGAAACTAGTTGAAAGTGAGACACAAGTGTTTATGAGGAACTAGTTGAAAGTGAGACAAAAGTGTTTATGTGAAACTAGTTGAAAGTGAGACACAAGTGTTTATGTGAAACTAGTTGATCGTGAGACACAAGTGTTTATGTGAAACTAGTTGAAAGTGAGACACACGAGTTTATGTGAAACTAGTTGAAAGTGAGACACAAGTGTTTATGTGAAACTAGTTGATCGTGAGACACAAGTGTTTATGTGAAACTAGTTGAAAGTGAGACACACGAGTTTATGTGAAACTAGTTGAAAGTGAGACACAAGTGTTTATGTGAAACTAGTTGAAAGTGAGACACAAGTGTTTATGTGAAACTAGTTGAAAGTGAGACACACGAGTTTATGTGAAACTAGTTGAAAGTGAGACACAAGTGTTTATGTGAAACTAGTTGAAAGTGAGACACAAGTGTTTATGTGAAACTAGTTGAAAGTGAGACACAAGCGTTCATATGAAACTAGTTGAAAGTGAGACACAAGCGTTCATGGGAAACTAGTTGAAAGTGAGACACAAGCGTTCATGGGAAACTTGTAGAAAGTGAGACACAAGCGTTTATGTGAAGACATATCACTGACCAGTCTAATTGCTTCTGCAGGCAGCATCAATGACCAGACTTCCGTGGTTTTGGTCAGCACCCTGTCCTTCAACGCCACCTGGCAAAACGAGTTCGATGTTTCCAAGACGAGCAAACAGCCATTCACATGGGAAAACGGCAAGAAGGAGGAGGTACATTTCTCCGACATTTGTCCTCTTACCTTTCCTTGTAACACCCAGTTTTTTTTATTTTTTATTTTTATTTTACTAATTTATGTTACTGACACGAGAGCAAATGTGCACACTTGGACATAATAACACAGTTACATTCCAAGATATACGTGGTCTCGGTCATAGTCTCGTCTGGACTCTTTCATATGTTAGCGACAGAGCAAGGACTCTGGGCATATGTTAGCGACAGAGCAAGGACTCTGGGCATATGTTAGCGACAGAGCAAGGACTCTGGGCATATGTTAGCGACAGAGTAATCAGGCCTTATGTACTAAAACTGATGCACCCATACATGTATCCATACACACACTCCACACATCCATCCATCCACTGACACATCCATCCATACACCCAAACTCCACTCATCCATCCATTCACCGAAACATCCATCCATATATCCACACATCTATCCATACACCCAAACATATCTCCGCACAACCATCCAGACACCCATACATCCATCAATACACCCACACAATCATCCATACACCCACACATCCATCTGTACACCCACACATACATGCACACATTCATCCTTACATCCACACATCTATACTTACACCAACAAATCCATCCTTACACACACACACACACATCCGTCCACACAACCATCCATAAACTAACAGCCCAAAACGCTTGTCATACTCTTGAAAAGAAAGGTGACACAACTCTACAGAAATAACCACTGCATCTGATCGCCTCCCCTACCTACTCCTAGGTTGAGATGATGAATGACACCAGAATCGTTCTGTACAAGAGAGACAACCAGTCGGAAATCGACGTCATCCAGATGCCCTTCAAGGGCGGACGTTTTGCAATCTACTTTGCTCTGCCACGACGAGTGGGTCAACTGGCGGCTTTGGGTAAGTTCTCATGACCCTTAGAAATGTTCCTGTCTTCACAACATACTTGCTACCAAGGTACCACTGTGCCGACACAGACTATGGGCTAGCTCGCTGTTAACTCCGTCCAAGTATAGGACCCAATTTTTTATAAATTTAAAGCGCCACTCCAACTGTTGTCTGGCCACTAATATAACCTAGCGGTTAAAAGGAGATTCTCATCCTAAAGGTGACACTTTGTGTCAGCGGAACAAACATATAGTTATGCGGTGCCACTGGGGTTGAATGTTACCGACTCTAATGAGTTTGCACAGTGTTATCAGTTGATACTTGTGAAACAGTGACGGAAGGATGTGTTTTTTTTTTCATTTCTCTCCAAGACTCGACAATGTAGTGCACAGTGTTATCAGTTGATACTTGTGAAACAGTGAGGGAAGGATGTTTTTGTTTCATTTCTCTCCAAGACTCGACAATTTAGTGGGCCGAGCAGAAAACACATGTTGAGAATTTTAGTTACAGATCTTTCATACAGACAGGAGGAACACGTTGAGACAGGAGGAACACAGGTTATATATATATATATATATATATATATATATATATATATATATATATATATATATATATATATATATATATATATATAGTATATATATATATATATATATTTATGTGCATACACACGCACACACACACAGACACATAGGAATAAGAACAATACATGTTTCTCTGTACATTAGCCCTCTCCACCTGAGCATACTGACCACTTGTATATACTGACCACCTGTACATACTGACCACCTGTACATACTGACCACCTGTACATACTGAAAACCTGTAAAGATATAAAAACTGTACAGCCAGTCGTCTTCACTATGTCACAAACACAAAGTGAACATAACGGATTTGTAGTCTTCATCAACAGATAGCATCAGTCTACAATACCCTAAGCACGAACAAGAACATACAAAAATCGGTGACGTATTTCCGATATAAATCACATCTCTGTCTGGCCAGTAAAAAACCTGACACGTGTGTGGCCAACGGAAATAAATACTGGCCAGAAAAAAAAAAAATCACGAGCGACAAGGGCAATGACTCTAAAATATTAGATACAACTCTGTTGGATATTAGGTCCCCTGGGTGCCCACGTGTAAATATGTTCAGTAGTTACTGCTGGCACTCAGATCAACTGTTTCAGTGTTGTTTATTAAGAACCGAAATCTGTTTGTCGGTGCACTGGCCATTTCTAACCGAGTTCGCTTTGCCAACAGAGGAGCGTCTGTCCGAGCCCGGCAAGTCTAAGGAGCTTCTGGAGGGTCTGCAGCCAACCACCGTCGAGCTGGCTATCCCCAAGTTCAAGATCGAGAAGCGATTCGAGCTGAAGCAGAGTCTGCGAGAGATGGGCATGGAGAAGGCTTTCGAAGCCAACTCAGCTGACTTCAGTGGCATCAGCCAATCAAGTTAGTGTCACGCTCTCTCCTATCTTGTTTACTAAAGGGTAGTCTCGTTTCCTTTTTCTTTCTTTCTTTCTTTCTTTCTTTCTTTCTTTCTTTCTTTCTTTCTTTCTTTCTTTCTTTCTTTCTTTCTTTCTTTCTTTCTTTCTTTCATTCTCTCTCAAACATTTTCCCTATCTCCCTCTAAGACTCAATGCACATCTCCTCGTATGTCTGTTTATCTAAACGCCTATCTGCCAGTCCATCTACCCGTGTGCCTGTTTATCTATACGCCTATCTGCCAGTCCATCTACCCGTGTGCCTGTTTATCTATACGCCCATCTGCCAGTCCATCTACCCGTGTGCCTGTTTATCTATACGCCTATCTGCCAGTCCATCTACCCGTGTGCCTGTTTATCTATACGCCTATCTGCCAGTCCATCTACCCGTGTGTCTGTTTATCTATACGCCTATCTGCTAGTCTATCTACCCATGTGCCTGTTTATCTATACGCCTATCTGCAAGTCTATCTACCCGTATGTCTGTTTATCTATACGCCTATCTGCCAGTCTATCTACCCGTATGTCTGTTTATCTATACGCCTATCTGCCAGTCTATCTACCCTTATGCCTGCTTATCTATACGCATATCTGCCAGTCTATCTACCCGTATGTCTGTTTATCTATACGCCTATCTGCCAGTCCATGTACCCGTATGCCTGTTTATCTATACGCCTATCTGCCAGTCCATGTACCCGTATGCCTGTTTATCTATACGCCTATCTGCCAGTCCATCTACCCGTGTGTCTGTTTATCTATACGCCTATCTGCCAGTCCATGTACCCGTATGCCTGTTTATCTATACGCCTATCTGCCAGTCCATGTACCCGTATGCCTGTTTATCTATACGCCTATCTGCCAGTCCATCTACCCGTGTGTCTGTTTATCTATACGCCTATCTGCCAGTCCATCTACCCGTGTGCCTGTTTATCTATACGCCTATCTGCCAGTCCATCTACCCGTGTGTCTGTTTATCTATACGCCTATCTGCCAGTCCATCTACCCGTATGCCTGTTTATCCATACGCCTATCTGCCAGTCCATCTACCCGTATGCCTGTTTATCTATACGCCTATCTGCCAGTCCATCTACCCGTGTGCCTGTTTATCTATACGCCTATCTGCCAGTCCATCTACCCGTATGCCTGTTTATCTATACGCCTATCTGCCAGTCCATCTACCCATGTGTCTCTTTATCTATACGCCTATCTGCCAGTCCATCTACCCGTGTGCCTGTTTATCTATACGCCTATCTGCCAGTCCATCTACCCGTGTGCCTGTTTATCTATACGCCTATCTGCCAGTCTATCTACCCGTGTGTCTGTTTATCTATACGCCTATCTGCCAGTCCATCTACCCGTGTGTCTGTTTATCTATACGCCTATCTGCCAGTCCATCTACCTGTGTGCCTGTTTATCTATACGCCTATCTGCCAGTCCATCTACCCGTGTGTCTGTTTATCTATACGCCTATCTGGCAGTCCATCTACCCGTGTGCCTGTTTATCTATACGCCTATCTGCCAGTCCATCTACCCGTGTGCCTGTTTATCTATACGCCTATCTGCCAGTCTATCTACCCTTATGCCTGTTTATCTATACGCCTATCTGCCAGTCCATCTACCCGTGTGTCTGTTTATCTATACGCCTATCTGCCAGCCCATCTACCCGTGTGCCTGTTTATCTATACGCCTATCTGCCAGTCCATCTACCCGTGTGTCTGTTTATCTATACGCCTATCTGCCAGTCCATCTATCCTTATGCCTGTTTATCTATACGCCTATCTGCCAGTCCATCTACCCGTGTGTCTGTTTATCTATACGCCTATCTGCCAGTCCATCTACCCGTATGTCTGTTTATCTATACGCCTATCTGCCAGTCCATCTACCCGTGTGCTCTTTTATCTATACGCCTATCTGCCAGTCCATCTACCCGTGTGTCTGTTTATCTATACGCCTATCTGCCAGTCCATCTACCCGTGTGTCTGTTTATCTATACGCCTATCTGCCAGTCCATCTACCCGTGTGCCTGTTTATCTATACGCCTATCTGCCAGTCCATCTACCCGTGTGCCTGTTTATCTATACGCCTATCTGCCAGTCCATCTACCCGTGTGTCTGTTTATCTATACGCCTATCTGCCAGTCCATCTACCCGTGTGTCTGTTTATCTATACGCCTATCTGCCAGTCCATCTACCCGTGTGCCTGTTTATCTATACGCCTATCTGCCAGTCCATCTACCCGTGTGCCTGTTTATCTATACGCCTATCTGCCAGTCCATCTACCCGTGTGCCTGTTTATCTATACGCCTATCTGCCAGTCCATCTACCCGTGTGCCTGTTTATCTATACGCCTATCTGCCAGTCCATATACCCGTGTGTCTGTTTATGTATACGCCTATCTGCCAGTCCATCTATTCGTGTGCCTGTTTATCTATACGCCTATCTGCCAGTCCATCTACCCGTGTGCCTGTTTATCTATACGCCTATCTGCCAGTCCATCTACCCGTGTGCCTGTTTATCTATACGCCTATCTGCCAGTCCATCTACCCGTGTGCCTGTTTATCTATACGCCTATCTGCCAGTCCATCTACCCGTGTGCCTGTTTATCTATACGCCTATCTGCCAGTCCATCTACCCGTGTGTCTGTTTATCTATACGCCTATCTGCCAGTCCATCTACCCGTGTGCCTGTTTATCTATACGCCTATCTGCCAGTCCATCTACCCGTGTGCCTGTTTATCTATACGCCTATCTACCAGTCCATCTACCCGTGTGCCTGTTTATCTATACGCCTATCTGCCAGTCCATCTACCCGTGTGCCTGTTTATCTATACGCCTATCTGCCAGTCCATCTACCCGTGTGCCTGTTTATCTATACGCCTATCTGCCAGTTCATCTACCCGTGTGTCTGTTTATCTATACGCCTATCTGCCAGTCCATCTACCCGTGTGTCTGTTTATCTATACGCCTATCTGCCAGTCCATCTACCCGTGTGTCTGTTTATCTATACGCCTATCTGCCAGTCCATCTACCAGTGTGTCTGTTTATCTATACGCCTATCTGCCAGTCCATCTACCCGTGTGTCTGTTTATCTATACGCCTATCTGCCAGTCCATCTACCCGTGTGCCTGTTTATCTATACGCCTATCTGCCAGTCCATCTACCCGTGTGTCTGTTAATCTATACGCCTATCTGCCAGTCCATCTACCCGTATACCTGTTTCTCATTCCTTATTTTCAAATATAGTTTGTTAGTTCGTCAGTATTCTCGCAGTCTGTCCTTTCTGTCTGTCTGCCTGGTCTTTTTGTACACCTCCCCAATTCCCTATGTGTTTGCCTACCTGTCTGTTTATGTTAATTTGACGGTACAACATCTGCACGAACTCCGTTGCCCCAGCGAGGATCCTGAAATACTTTGGGTAGATTATAAACTCTAGATTTTGCCCGATCAGCCCTATTAGACTACTCTTTTCGATTTCTAGCCATCAAGGGGTCTTTTTTACGTGCGCAAGAATACACACTGGCGTCCGATCTTACTACCCAGAGACCAGGGGAAATTACCAGAAGCCCACATGAAAATATCCCAGCCTTCACCGGGGCTTAAAACCGGGACCTCCAGCACTGGAGGCGGACACCATACCTCAGAACCACCCAGCCCTGCTCTATGCCTGTCTCTCACTATGTCTCTATTCCCCACTCTGTAAGCTCTGTATGTCTATATATTCTCTTTTTTATCTGTCTGCTTATGTCAGCCTGTCTACGTGTCTGTCTTCAAATGAAACTAGCATGACACATGATGACGATGACGAGTTGAGAGAACAACATACAACACTGTCCAGCATGATGACGATGAAAAGTTGAGAGAACAACATACAACATTGTGCAGCATGATGACGATGAAGAGTTGAGAGAACAACATACAACATTGTCCAGCATAAAGCGATGAAGAGTTGAAAGAACAACATACAACATTGTCCAGCATGATGACGATGACGAGTTGAGAGAACAACATACAACATTGTCCAGCATAAAGCGATGAAGAGTTGAAAGAACAACATACAACATTGTCCAGCATGATGACGATGACGAGTTGAGAGAACAACATACAACATTGTCCAGCATGATGATGATGATGATGAAGAGTTGAAAGAACAACATACAACATTGTCCAGCATGATGACGATGAAAAGTTGAGAGAACAACATACAACACTGTCCAGCATGATGACGATAAAGAGTTGAGAGAACAACATACAACACTGTCCAGCATGATGACGATGAAGAGTTGAGAGAGAACAACATACAATACTGTCCAGCATGATGATTGATGGCAGTTTCTAGATCCTCTCCATAGCAGAAAGCCTGGGCAGTATTGTAGAGACCTTGGGTTGCCAATGTATCGTTATCCCCCCCCCCCCACTCGACCTGCTTTGTTTACTTCAAAGGAAAGGTAACATCCGTAGGTTTGAAACTAAGCACGCTGCAGAAGCTGCCAGATCAGAAGAGCAGTTCTTTATCTGTCCGCCTGTCAGAGCTTCCCTCCTAGACCAGCTGCCAGCCAAGGTGAAGGGCCTGGTCTGCCCTGCCATAACATAAAGTTTTCAGGTTGCATTTCCTCTTCCTATGATAAGGCTATTATCCTCCCCAATGTGCTCCTTCGCCCGAAGTCTTTGGCACAATATGGGATGTCAGGTTTGATGAACATTGGTCAACATTCGGCTTTAAAAGGAGACAGGAAGAACCGGCTACTGTTGTACGGTGGATCAGTCATATCTGACCAAGTTAACAGAAGACAGGTAGTGCCGACTACTGTTATACAGTAGCTCAGTTATATCTGACCAAGAGCTGACCACTGCTGTCCAAAAGCCTCAGTTATAAACAAACTAATCCGTGTTGTCTCCTCTGTCTGACAGAACGTCTTCACATCAGCGAGGTCGTGCACGCTGCCGTGTTCGAAATCGAGGAGAGGGGAACCCGCGGCTCATCCGCCAGTGTCACAGAAATTGAAAGCAAATCCCGACCATCCGTGGAGGAAGCCCAGGAGACATTCATCGCCGACCACGGTTTCATGTTCTGGGTTCTGGACAACTCCAGCAGCCAGGTGGTATTCCAGGGATCTTTCAACGGTCAGAAGAAATAAGCCACCAGACGCTGGGTCGGTGACATCTGACTTGTTACCAACAATTTCCTTTTATGATTCGCCAACATGCCTGCACTATCGCTGAAATAAAACCAACCAAGTTCACATGAGCAATTTCCTTCTATTCATTGTGTGTCATCTGTTTGTCATGTCTCAGTTATTTTTGTAATCTTTTGTGTCATCTATTTGTTATGTGTCATCTATTTGTTATGTGTCATCTATTTGTTATGTGTCATCTATTTCTTGTGTGTCATCTATTTCTTGTGTGCCATCTTGTTCTTGTGTGTCATCTTGTTATTGTGTGTCATCTATTTCTTGTGTGTCATCTATTTCTTGTGTGCCATCTTGTTCTTGTGTGTCATCTTGTTATTGTGTGTCATCTATTTCTTGTGTGTCATCTATTTCTTGTGTGTCATCTATTTCTTGTGTGCCATCTTGTTATTGTGTGTCATCTTGTTATTGTGTGTCATCTATTTCTTGTGTGTCATCTATTTCTTGTGTGCCATCTTGTTCTTGTGTGTCATCTTGTTATTGTGTGTCATCTATTTCTTGTGTGTCATCTATTTCTTGTGTGCCATCTTGTTCTTGTGTGTCATCTTGTTATTGTGTGTCATCTATTTCTTGTGTGTCATCTATTTCTTGTGTGCCATCTTGTTCTTGTGTGTCATCTTGTTATTGTGTGTCATCTATTTCTTGTGTGTCATCTATTTCTTGTGTGCCATCTTGTTCTTGTGTGTCATCTTGTTATTGTGTGTCATCTATTTCTTGTGTGTCATCTATTTCTTGTGTGCCATCTTGTTCTTGTGTGTCATCTTGTTATTGTGTGTCATCTATTTCTTGTGTGTCATCTATTTCTTGTGTGTCATCTTGTTCTTGTGTGTCATCTTGTTCTTGTGTGTCATCTATTTCTTGTGTGTCATCTTGTTCTTGTGTGTCATCTTGTTCTTGTGTGTCATCTATTTCTTGTGTGTCATCTATTTCTTGTGTGTCATCTTGTTCTTGTGTGTCATCTTGTTCTTGTGTGTCATCTATTTCTTGTGTGTCATCTTGTTCTTGTGTGTCATCTTGTTCTTGTGTGTCATCTTGTTCTTGTGTGTCATCTATTTCTTGTGTGTCATCTATTTCTTGTGTGTCATCTATTTCTTGTGTGTCATCTATTTCTTGTGTGTCATCTATTTCTTGTGTGTCATCTATTTCTTGTGTGTCATCTATTTCTTGTGTGTCATCTATTTCTTGTGTGCCATATATTTCTTGTGTGCCATATATTTCTTGTGTGTCATCTATTTCTTGTGTGCCATATATTTCTTGTGTGTCATCTATTTCTTGTGTGCCATCTTGTTCTTGTGTGTCATCTTGTTATTGTGTGTCATCTATTTCTTGTGTGTCATCTATTTCTTGTGTGTCATCTTGTTCTTGTGTGTCATCTTGTTCTTGTGTGTCATCTTTTTCTTGTGTGTCATCTTGTTCTTGTGTGTCATCTTGTTCTTGTGTGTCATCTTGTTCTTGTGTGTCATCTATTTCTTGTGTGTCATCTATTTCTTGTGTGTCATCTATTTCTTGTGTGTCATCTATTTCTTGTGTGTCATCTTGTTCTTGTGTGTCATCTATTTCTTGTGTGTCATCTATTTCTTGTGTGTCATCTATTTCTTGTGTGCCATATATTTCTTGTGTGCCATATATTTCTTGTGTGTCATCTATTTCTTGTGTGCCATATATTTCTTGTGTGTCATCTATTTCTTGTGTGCCATCTTGTTCTTGTGTGTCATCTTGTTCTTGTGTGTCATCTATTTCTTGTGTGTCATCTATTTCTTGTGTGTCATCTATTTCTTGTGTGTCATCTTGTTCTTGTGTGTCATCTATTTCTTGTGTGTCATCTTGTTCTTGTGTGTCATCTATTTCTTGTGTGTCATCTTGTTCTTGTGTGTCATCTATTTCTTGTGTGTCATCTTGTTCTTGTGTGTCATCTATTTCTTGTGTGTCATCTATTTCTTGTGTGTCATCTATTTCTTGTGTGCCATATATTTCTTGTGTGCCATATATTTCTTGTGTGTCATCTATTTCTTGTGTGCCATATATTTCTTGTGTGTCATCTATTTCTTGTGTGCCATCTTGTTCTTGTGTGTCATCTTGTTCTTGTGTGTCATCTATTTCTTGTGTGTCATCTATTTCTTGTGTGTCATCTATTTCTTGTGTGTCATCTTGTTCTTGTGTGTCATCTATTTCTTGTGTGTCATCTATTTCTTGTGTGTCATCTATTTCTTGTGTGCCATATATTTCTTGTGTGTCATCTTGTTCTTGTGTGCCATATATTTCTTGTGTGTCATCTTGTTCTTGTGTGCCATATATTTCTTGTGTGTCATCTATTTCTTGTGTGCCATATATTTCTTGTGTGTCATCTATTTCTTGTGTGTCATCTATTTCTTGTGTGTCATCTTGTTCTTGTGTGTCATCTATTTCTTGTGTGTCATCTATTTCTTGTGTGCCATATATTTCTTGTGTGTCATCTATTTCTGTGTGTGCATATATTTCTTGTGTGTCATCTTGTTCTTGTGTGCCATATATTTCTTGTGTGTCATCTATTTCTTGTGTGCCATATATTTCTTGTGTGTCATCTTGTTCTTGTGTGTCATCTATTTCTTGTGTGTCATCTATTTCTTGTGTGCCATATATTTCTTGTGTGTCATCTTGTTCTTGTGTGCCATATATTTCTTGTGTGTCATATATTTCTTGTGTGTCATATATTTCTTGTGTGCCATATATTTCTTGTGTGTCATCTATTTCTTGTGTGCCATATATTTCTTGTGTGTCATCTTGTTCTTGTGTGTCATCTATTTCTTGTGTGTCATCTATTTCTTGTGTGCCATATATTTCTTGTGTGTCATCTTGTTCTTGTGTGCCATATATTTCTTGTGTGTCATCTTGTTCTCGTGTGCCATATATTTTTTGTGTGTCATCTATTTCTTGTGTGCCATATATTTCTTGTGTGTCATCTATTTCTTGTGTGTCATCTATTTCTTGTGTGTCATCTTGTTCTTGTGTGTCATCTATTTCTTGTGTGTCATCTATTTCTTGTGTGCCATATATTTCTTGTGTGTCATCTATTTCTTGTGTGCCATATATTTCTTGTGTGTCATCTTGTTCTTGTGTGCCATATATTTCTTGTGTGTCATCTATTTCTTGTGTGCCATATATTTCTTGTGTGTCATCTTGTTCTTGTGTGTCATCTATTTCTTGTGTGTCATCTATTTCTTGTGTGCCATATATTTCTTGTGTGTCATCTTGTTCTTGTGTGCCATATATTTCTTGTGTGTCATATATTTCTTGTGTGTCATATATTTCTTGTGTGCCATATATTTCTTGTGTGTCATCTATTTCTTGTGTGCCATATATTTCTTGTGTGTCATCTTGTTCTTGTGTGCCATATATTTCTTGTGTGTCATCTTGTTCTTGTGTGCCATAAATTTCTTGTGTGTCATATTGTTCTTGTGGGCCATATATTTCTTATGTCTCATTTATTTCTTGCACGTCATCTATCTGTTGCGTGTGCTTGCCCTAACATCTAGTGCAACATCCATCTCCTTTCTTGTGTGTCATCTATCTGTTGCCTGTACTTGACCTCCTCCTTTTTCTTCTTCTCCTTCTTCTTTTTCTTCTTCTTCTTCTTCTTCTTCTTCCTCTTTTATTCTTCTTCTTCTTCTTCTTCTTCTTCTTCTTCTTCTTCTTCTTCTTCTTCTTCTTCTTCTTCTTCTTCTTCTTCTTCTTCTTCTTCTTCTTCTTCTTCTTCTTCTTCTTCTTCTCCGTCTTCTTCTGTTTGCAGGTTTCAGCAACACCATTTTTTACCTATCGCTGTCTTTGTCTTCCCCTTGCCTTCCTCCCACGTTCTGCTGATAAAAAAAATAATATGCGGTTTGATCTTTATATATTGTTGCTATTCTTTCACTCTTAGTCTATCAATATAATTTAGATACTGTCTTCTTCCAATTTTCTCTCTAATGTTGGTATTCGTAACCTCGTCCCTTCTGGTTTTGTTTGTGACTTTAAGGACAGCGCATTTCATATCTAGTTTTCTGTTTTAGTACCTTATTCATTTCCATGTTTGGCACTGACAGCACAAAGTAGGAATGAAGGTGTAGGTCACCACACGGCATTTTTTCCAATTTATGACAAAAATATCACTTTTTCAATGTGTTCGTTTTTGTAAAGTTCGGCATTCGTAGAATAGATTACACACAAGATTTATATCAATTGTAGACAATTTAGCATTGAAAAGTTAATACTAAAGACACCACCTCATGCATTTCTTTAGGATAAAATACATTTTGTATCTGAAAATACGAATGTTTAACACATAGCAATAGCTGCTTCTAAATACTTTATAATATGGCAGAGCGTGTGAGGGTAGTGGTGATGACGGCAAGCCCGACGGTGCTTTGTCACTAAAGAAAACTTTAAAGTTAGGAACATGGAATGTTAGGAACATGGAATGTTAGGAACATGGAATGTTAGGAACATGTATCAGGGTAAACTTAGCATCGTTGGCAGAGAACTAGAAACAAATAAAATAGATATACTAGGAATTTCTGAACATAGATGCACGGATCAAGGCTATCGTGTGACTGGAGATACATTTGTTTATTCAGGAAAGGACAAGAATGGTTTGTTTTCTGATGACAAGAAAGGTTTCTTCACCACTTCTTGGATATAATCCGATCAGCGACCCAATTCTAACTGTCAGACTCAAGTCAAAGATAAGGAACATTACAATTATTCAAGTCTATGCCCTAACATCGGCATCAGAGGAAGATGAAATTTAAAAAAATTATGACAGTGCAGAAGAGACGTTAGAAAGGGTAGAGTTATTATAGTGATTATGGGGGATTTTGCAATGCAAAATTTGGTGGAGGTAGAATAGAGGAAGAGGAAATAGTCAGAGGCCCATTCGGCATAGGAGACAGAAACGAGAGTGGGGAGAGACTAGTCGAATACTGTAAATAAAAGAA